CAGGAGTGGCATGAACCAACCAATCCCATTCCCTATTATAAAACGCTTGTGTCCCTTATCAATAATATGATACTATTTTGTGTAAACCTTTATTGTTTATAAATGAAATGAAATCATGCATTCATTGGCATGATTTCAGTTAATCTCAACAACTTCATAAGGTAGTTGGTTTTATCTCTCTATCACAGGCCAAGAGGAAACATTCTAGAAAGTAACAGAATAACAAGATCAGGTCTGGAATCTTGACTTTCTGCTTCAGAGGCCAATGCTTTCTCCACCTATGAGTCATGGCTGCCTCCTGATAAGTAGATTGGATAGTAAAGGCTGAGCATGGCCAAAGGATGCTGGAACCATATGTGCTTATGGTTCCTCTCCCCAGGGAAAGCCTTTCGGAGGGATCCACTTTGGCTCACTTCCAAAGCCAGTCCTTCCGGGTGGGAGGGATTGGCACCAGTGTACACAGGGGGCAGATCAGCCTCCCCAGCATATGCAAGGACATGGAAACTCATGACCATGGTGGTATCATTTGTGAGACATGTGCCTTAGTCCAGGCCCTTTAAATTATATTAGCTTATTAAATCTTACCAATCCTAAACCAAGCAAACAAGTTAACATAGAAAGGCAGAAGGCAAAATCCTCAATCTCCAATATTTTTCCTGGCTTAAATGTCAGTTTGAGTGAACTCTCAGAAAGTCAGAGCCATGAAGCTTTGAACACAGTTCTCACTGAAGCCAGCCTTGGGAGCCAGGTATATCATGAAGTTACAGGTTAAGATATCTTTATTCAAGTCATACCGGCCAAGCACAAGCCAGAGCGAGCCCAGAGGCAGCAAGCTAGGGAGGCCAGAGAGAAGGGCCCCCCACGTGTCTGCCGCCCCTTAAGAATTCCCCACGAGTCATCCTGAACCTCCCCTGACCACACTCTCACGGGCATAGCCAGGCACATCTCTAGCAGCTCCTAGGAGGCGGGGCTACAATGTCTCCCTACAGGCACCCAATAGAGCTGGACCTCAGGGTCTCTCGCTGGGATTTCTCACTACACCAACTTGCCATATTTTTTCAGCCCATCTACCGTGGTATAGCCAGATATTCTGGAATATTAGTCCCATCCTACTCAAGAAAACAACAACAACAAAAAATAAATAAAAATAAATAAAAATAAAAAAGAATGAAATTAGAAGAAAAGAATAATTTAAGATGAAATGATCTGTTATTTTTTTCTTCAGAGGCTAGAGTTGTCTGGGGTATTATCAACAGAATTGATTCATGGATTGGGATATTGGACTAGATGAATTATGATTTGTTTGATTCTTGGATTTTGGGGAGAACAAAGAGATTGATTTCATTTCTACAATTCTGGGAATATGACGGGGTTGTATCCACATCCTGCGCCCCAGGTTTCCTGCTTAATGATGGCTTGACCAGCTCATTGCCTTTCCTCTCTGAATATTGTGCTGACAGCATGATGTCAAGCTCCTCACCAGTTTGATCTTCCTTGCCTCTCTCTTTCCCTAGAGATTATCTTGTCTAGGAGTCAGAATTCACTGCAGTTTTTGACTCATGCATCTCTCATACTCCCTTTGCCTTTAATGGTTTTAGGAAATACTTCTTGGCCAATCTTAAACCTATGGGGATCCTAAGGTTTCATAAATGGACAAGTTGAGCCAACAAGTGTTTGGTTTTTTTGTTTGTTTCTTTGTTTTTTGGTTTTTGTTTTTTGGTTTTTGTTTTTTTTTTTGTTTTGTTTTGTTTTGTTTTTTTGGTTTTTTGAGACAGGGTTTCTCTGTGTAGCTTTGGAGCCTATCCTGGCACTCGCTCTGGAGACCAGGCTGGCCTCAAACTCACAGAGATCTGCCTGCCTCTGCCTCTGCCTCTTCCTCTCGAGTGCTGGGATTAAAGGTGTGCTCCACCAACGCCCAGTGGAGCCAACAGTGTTGTGCGTGGAGGAAATAAAGGAGACCTCCCTTGTGTGTGAGGGATTTCTGCAAGGAGTTGTTAAAGAGGCAGGGATTACATGCCTAACTCTTTGCAGCACATCAGTAGTCTGTGTGTTGGGAGTACTCTGAGTCTAGAGACAGGCCATGAGATCTAGAGAATGTGAAAGGCTTCCTGAAAGAAGCTAGGCCTGCTCTGGCCCTGTGTGATACCATAGTTGACAGAGAAACAATGGCAAGGAAGATATCTGAACACTGAAAAGGCTGAAGGAAGGAATGTGCTATACATGCTGGTCTTAACTTAGACTGACAGGTGCCTACGCCATTGAAATGACTTTGATATCCAACAGCAGGGGAGAATGTTGAAAATGACATCCACCATAGAGTTCTGAGTTTGTCTGGAGTGAACGTGGGCCTAGGTGGCCTGTAGCTGCTGACTGGACCCATGTCTTCAGCTGTTATGTACAAAGCACAGCTAAGCTGTGAACACAGGGAATCACCATCTTGGGGCTCGACAAGACTTCAAGCATGTATCACTTGGTTTATTCTGTAAAAAGATGAAGCACAGTAATGTTGGGTATTAATCCAAACGGTTACAACCCTTTTAAAGTTGGGGACACTGGAGTGTATTGTCTTAGTTCTGTGGAAATTCTCATTCCCTCATATTGTTAGATGTGTTGAATGCCAAACAAATGGTTCTCTGTAGGCGAGAGTGTGCACAGCTCTTGAAGGCATTTATAAACTTGGCGTGAGAGTACGTCAGCTCCTGCACTAACTTGTAGTCTGGGCAGCTGGCCAGGACCTTGCCTGGCTCTGAGTTACCCTGGTGCCTCTGTGAGATGACAGGGTTGGAGAAGGAGTGGGATGCCTGCTCTTCTCTTCTGTGGTTCCTAGGAGATGAGTTCCTCTGACCTTGGAAAGGCTGAGGCCCTGTCAGAAGCACTGGGTCTCTCCCATAACCCTAGCCTATCCCTGGGAAGTTCTTAAGGAATCCCTAGGGATTTGCCCCAGTGTTGGAAGCCAGGGGCCTTGTTTTAACCTGTCCTGGGCCATGCTAGAAGGTGGCAGGGTAGGAACTCTGCTAGAGTGAGGCAAGGACAGAAGTCACTTCTAAAGATGGCACTTGTGGGGTGAAGGCATTGAGCAACAGTACTGTTTTCTCAGCACATGAGTCCTTGGGATTCTCTGGGCCCCTCCTTATAGCCAGGGTGAAAATCAAAACCCAGCAGCAGCACCCACAAGAAGGTTTGCTTTGAAGATAAGCCTGGGGATAACTTCTGAAACTGCCTGTAGATTCTTACCTTTTTTTTTTTTAAGGATTTGTTTATTTACTTTTTTATAATTTATATGTACTTACAGAGTTGATGTCCCCCCACATGCATTCAGGAGCCCACAGAAGCCAGAGAGTATATTGGATCCCCTGGAATAGGGACCTTTACAAGAGCAGCCAGTGCTTAATGGCTAAGCCATCTTTCAATCCCTCCCTCCAGTTCTTAACTTTCGATGAGGGAAGAATTTTCTGTTATAATCTGGGCACCTAGAGAAATTCTTCTGCTGTTATAGTAGCATGGGATGAACTAGTTTGAACCGGTATGTCTGTATATAACTGGGGCTTATTTTCATGCTTAGGGGCTTCGTCTTGCCTTAGGCCCAGCGGTTTGGAAAATTAGTATGTGGGCAGAGCCAGAAGAGCTGAAGCAATGTGCAAGGAAGCATGTGTATGATGGGAGTGGATATACCATTAGGTACAGTTGGGGTGATGGAACACTTGCCCCTCTCTGGAGATAGTCACAGCGGAGGATGGGGCAAAGATTGAAGCCACATTGAGCAGAGCTCAGGCCAGTACAAAGCCTCACAATGAAGCCCTTCCAATCAAGAGCCGCTTCTTGCATCCAACTCTGTCCTAGTACCTACCATGCCCCCATGTAGTCCAGAGGAAAGCACTCTACCAGCCGAGCCTCATCCGCAGCCCTGTGTTCAGTTCTTAAAGCAAAGCTCCGAAGGGAGTGGAGTAGCATAGGAGGGGGGCAAGAGCTGCCACTGGTTGGTTAAGGGCTGCACGGTCAGTATGAAGTGAAGGTCTCTGAGCCACCGTGAGAGCACTGGGATGCCATGTAGTCATCCAAGAATCCAAGGCAGTCCCTGTCCTGGAGTTCTGGCTATTGTAAATAATCCCTAGAGTGTTGGGAAGGAGGCTGGAGGGCAAGATAAAACAGAGCTGTGGTATTTAGCACACTGGGGTTGATGAATGGCTTCAGAAGCTGCAGGTGTCAGGACACATAGCACTAGCATCTAGGTTGTCAAACTGCACCAAGCTCTAGACAGACTACAGTGCATGGCATGCCGTTGTGTGGCTCATGGGTTTCTGTACTTTCACTTTCTTGACTGGAGTGATCATGAGGGTCAAATGAGATGGGTGAATGAAAGCCCTTCCTACGTCATTGCTGGTTGATCTCTCTGAAACAGCTCCCAGCATGCACTCATAGTCCTGGGTGTTTTCCAAGATGGCAGCTTGGAGCTATCATCTGCCAAGTGTCCAAGACAGCAAGGGCAATGGCTCCAAGGATCTTAAGAACAGATGATTTGCCTCACAGAGAGGCAGGCCATCACTGTAATCTGGGAAACAAGCGCCTTAGATCTGGAACAGCATAGTGTGTGAAACCAAGCATTAACAAGGGCTTCAGAAACATGACCATTCATTTATGATCCCTATGACCATCACCAAACCGCCTACCTTTGGGTGGGTGGGGAGCTCCTCGGTTTTCTTTTTTTCTTCATAAACCAAGAACAAACAGGAAAAGTTCTGTGTACACCAACCCTAAGTCTCAGTTACAGGTTGTAACTGTCTTCTCTTCCAACAACTGGCTGGATGGAATGTGGGGAATGACAGAATCCGGGAGAGGGAAGGAAGCCACTTAACAACAGGCCATGTGGAGAGTGTAGGAGCCAGCAGACTTCCGAGGGAGGTTACCCTGACTTGTAGTTACTGACTGTCACAGAAGACTTCTCATTTCAGACCTGCTGTATTCTGTGAAAACCTGCCTTAATTCTTGCCCTCATTTCACAGCATCCAGCGAGCAGCGTTGGTAGTTCTGGAAAATTACTACAAAGACTTCACCATCTACAACCCAAACCTTCTAACGGCATCTAAGTTCCGAGCAGCCAAACACATGGCTGGCCTGAAAGTCTACAATGTAGATGGTATGTGCTTGAAACTGTTGGTGGGATGTGACGGCCACAGTTAGGCGGCTGTCACCTAAACTAAATATTTGCTTCTATCTGTACTCCGTGCTTGCCTTCTAGACCTTCCTCATTTCAGAACAATTTCTCTTTTTAAAATGTAGGCAAATGTTTTCCAGGGCAATGTCAGTTCATAGTCTACCTATATGGCAAGTTCATCCATTTGGGGATATTGATGTTGGAGACTATAGCTGTGTTTCCTGTCTCCTGCTGGGAACACCTTAGGTTGGAAACCCTTAGGATTTCCGAAGGCTTTTCAAAATCTGAGCAGATCACCTAGGGACAGAGAGTGTTCCTCCAAAGGCACTGGGCCTAAAAATGTCAGTAGTTCAGGCGCCCGGGAACTCCTCTCAGGCTTCTCAGCCCTGGCGAGGAGCAGGAGGTGAATGGTGACAAGAAGCTGGAGCCAGACTGGAGGAGTTGGAGCCCAGTTTCATTGAGAGTGTCAAATGCTTAGGTGTGAGAAACAGGACTCCATGTCATTTCTTGCTGGGCACCTGGAATAAGACAAGGGCTTTGCAAACTCCAGAAGAAAATTATGTAGTCAGCCAGTCAGCTGAATTACATGGGTATCAGCTTTGGTCACAGCAACCTTTCTGTTTTTATACATACATACATACATACATACATACATACATACATACATACATACATACATACATACATACATACATACATGCGATATGAGGTGTAAGCTTCACCCCTTGGAAAAATTTAGTGAAACCAAGTCCACAGCAGCAGCGGGTCACCTAGAAGAAACTGAGGTCTTGCCTTGTGTTTCCAATAAGCTAGGTGGGGTGGTGCTCAGGGTGACACAAGACTTTGAGTCTCTTCACAGAGGGGTCGTTTTGTGTGTCTGGGGTGATGACTGTAAGGCTGCACCCTGGCCTAACTTGTTTTCCTGTGTGTGCTCACTGTACGTGTCCCTTGACTCTCTTTTTTCTCTGTCTGTCTTTGTTCTCCCACCCTGCCCACTCTCTCTCATTGTTTGCTGTATGTGATGTCCCAGCTGCCCTTATGGCCAAACTGAAACTTTGTGTGGCAGATGGTAAGTGACATCTTCGGCACACTCTGGCGGGTGTTGTTCTTGGCCAACATTTTCAGTGGTGAGACTTTGCAGCCCTTCAGAGTTCTTTTTCCCTGTCCCCATCAGACTGGGGTTAGATTTCTTGGCTGCTGTGACTATGGAGTACCGTGCCCAGGGGAAGTTACTTTTAGGATCCATGTGTGCTTCCTCTCTAGGGGTGGGTGGGAGGGGATAAACAGACACTGGTACTGTTTTCCTATTCCATTTCCTGGTCTTTGGTGTTAAAGCTATTCTACCATTCTGCTTTCATCAAAGGGCCCAGTAACAATGCCACTGGCCAGTCCCGAGCCATGATTGCTGCAGCTGCTCGGCGCACAGACCCCAGCCACAATGAGTTGTATTATGAGGAGGCTGAACACGAACGGCGGGTAAAGAAGCGGAGAGCAAGGTTTGTGACTGCCCCTTCTGGTTGAATATTTTATTTCCACTTTTTTTAAACCTCCAGAGTTAATTTTCTGTTTGCAAACATGACCTGTGTGACTGTTTACAGTCCACTGTACTCTCGAGTTCCTCAGACTTGGTGTATGTAATTGTCACCAGACATACTTCTAACGATATCACAGGTTCTGGGCCCACTCATGGAGCTTATTGCACAGTCTGTGGATCTGGGGTTGGGCCTGAGAATTTCATTTCAAGCAGACTCCCAGGGGCTTTTCTGCTGCTGCCCTTGGAGGGGGCCAACCCCACCCACAATTTTTCCCATGTTAATTGAAGGTGGCAAAGGTGGCTTCCCTTATGCCTGCTACCCCATTCTTCCTTTTCCTGAGCTGCTGGGGGGTGGGGGGGAGATGAATCATAGGGGCCAGAGATCTGGTTTCTTTTCTATTTTTGTAGCCCAGGCAGGTTTTGAACTCTTTGTGTAGGTGAGGATTACATTGAACTTAGTTTTTTTTTAAAACCCTTTTTAACATTTATCGATTTGTGTGTATGCGTGTCTGTGGGCGTGCTTGTACACATGTGTCTTGTGTACATGCGTGCCACAGTACACATGTGCTCAGGACAACTTGGGGGGTGGGTTCTTTCCTTCTACCACCTGAGTTCCAGGGGTCAAATTCAGGCTGTCAAGCTTGGCAAGAGCCTTTCCCCTGATCCATCTTGTCAGTGTGACTTCTGACCCTGCCTTTACCTCCTGAGTGCTGGGTGACAATGTGGTGCTGGGCATTTCTCCTGGGTCTTTGTGGGACTGGGCAAGTGCTCTACCAACTAAAGCTCCCCCGAATAAGCTCTGGTTCTCCATCAGCTGCTTCTGCACACCCACTTCCTCTTTCCAGGTGGAGCTGAGCAGAAGTTGTCTTATCTCACCTTTTATTAGAGAAACTAAAGCACAGGTTAAAGTGAGTTTTCTGGGCTCATTATTGGCAGAACTGAGAAGTCCCCAGGGAGCACTCCCCGCCCCCCCCACCCCTTCTCCCAGGCTCTTCCCATCTCCTGGAGGACAGCTAAGGATGAGCAGTGTGACCGAACCTTGGGGAAGTTGGTGGTAGGCCAGGGTGCTGCAGTGGACAAGAGGTCTTTGGGTCTTTAGGGACCATCCATAAACCATTCAGTGGGCACTGCCTTGCTGACCGTGCCACATCGCCTTCCAGATTGGTGGTGGCAGTAGAAGAAGCCTTCATCCACATCCAGCGTCTCCAGGCTGAGGAGCAGCAGAAATCCCCTGGTGAGGTGATGGACCCCAGGGAGGCCGCTCAGGCCATCTTCCCCTCCATGGCCAGGGCATTGCAGAAGTACCTGCGCACCACACGGCAGCAGCACTACCACAGCATGGAGAGCATCCTGCAGCACCTGGCCTTCTGCATCACCAACAGCATGACCCCCAAGGTGCGCTGCCGGCGTCGGTGGGCAGACTGGTCCCTGAGTTTGGCCCGTCACCTGACATGTGTCCCTTCTGTTGCTCCCCACATGACTTTGATTTGTTTGTTTGTTTATGTGCACTTGTGCATGTCTGTGTCAGTATCCCTCGTGTGTGTTTAGATGCCCCCAAAAAGGCCAGAGGACAATGTTAGACCTTCTGAAACTAGAGGCAAAGGTGACTGTGAGTCTCCTCGTGCTACTGGGAACCAAACTTGGGTCCTCTGGAAGTACAGCAAGGTCTCTTTTTTAACTGCTGAGCCATCTCTCCAAACCCTCCACCTCATTTTTTGACCCAGGGCTTCTGACTGTACATAGAACTCAATGACCCCACTGGACTGGCTGGCCAGTGAGCCCTTGGGACCTTCCTCTCTCTGCCTCCCCAGCAGTGGGGTTATGAGCATGCATTATCAGGGCTGGCCTTTGTGGGGGTGCTGGAGATCTGAACACGGGTCCTCATATTTGTACAGCAAGGGCTTTACCCACTGAGCCTCCTCTCCAGCCCAATACAATTGTTTTTAATATACATTTTAAAAGCCTCCAGATTCTGTAACAGAGAAAAAAGATTTCACCTTGTGCCAGTATAATGCAGTGCCTAGGGTGGGCCCTAGAGCTAAACTCACCCAATTTAACCTACTGGCTGGCTGTACAACCTTGGACAAATAGCTTCTGGTGCTGTGCCTCACCTATAAATTGAGGTGTTCCTAACACTTCATGTTAATTCATGAAGTGTTAAAATTATACCTGTCATCTGATCCAGCCTAACTTAGTAGCTGTCTTTTTTTTTTTTTTTTTTTTTTTTTTTTTGGTAGAAATGATGCCACCATTTTGGATGTTGTAGAGTTTGTTTCCTGAGCAGTCTTTTGGATTATGGCATCAGTACACTTTAGGAATGGATATTACAATAACCATCAATGTCATTTAATAGAGGACTGTGGCCAAAAGAGAAGGGGTGGGTGCAGCTGGTGGGTTCAGATCATCGCCCCAGTCGCTCAGCTGGTGTGTAGCTGTGCACATGTATTTTTTGTTTGTTTGTTTGTTTGTTTGTTTCTACACTTGATTCCTCCATATAAAGGGTGGGTATCTGCTTTGCAGGGTTGGTGTGTAAGAAATAATGATAAGTCAGGTTACATAGCATGTGAATCCTGTGGACCCATGAATGACCTTGGCATTGGTGCATAGGTAATATTTGATAGCTCTTTTCCTAAGGACATCTTACTCTTACACTTCCCACAGTTGTCAGTACTTCTGACTTGGAAAAGCCAGGCAGAAATATCCAGTGAGAAACTTTAATGTTTTCCATCTCTTTGACTCAGTAGTCTCTTGCCCAGGAAAATTAGCAGTCAGGCCCATAATCAGTTCTCTGTCTGTGTGGGTTCCCCATCTGTAGAGTCAGCCAGCTATGGGTGGAAACCTTCACTCCTGTGCTGGCCTGTGCACATGCTTTCCTGTCACCCTGAGCATATACACACATGCTTTCCTGTCACACTGAGCACACACACCCACACCCCCCCACCCCCCCACACACACACGCACACATGCTTTCCTGACATATTGAGTGAGTACACAGCTTTCCTGTCACTGTCCCATAAACAACATAGTGTAGCAGCTACTTAGCATCATCACATTGCAGTAGATTCTGTATGTCACCTAGAGATGATGGATTCTACAGTATACAGATGTCTGCAAGTTACTGAGTGTCCTGGAATCAGCTTTTCAATTACTATCTATATTCACAATTATACATTGAAGGCGGATTGCCCCTCACCTAGAATATCCTATATAACTCCAAACTGGAAATCATTTACAAATGTTTCTGATATGCTATGTGGTATATCATCTGTTGGAATGGGGGTGGGGGAACTTGTTTGTGTATTCAGTTACAAAACTCCAAATACAACAGATCATGGACACAGGTTTCAAATACAAAACTATGTGCCTGTGTGCAGAATTATGACTTCTGGCATGAAAAAGGGACAGCTGTTTTCCTTTCTTCAGGGTTTCTTAAAGTTGTCTGATTTCTTCCCATTTCATTTTAAAAATTTATGCTTTCTTGGATGTTTATTGTACAAAAAGAAATGTCCAATGTAGAAGGCTCTTGCTTTGAGCCAGCTATAGTAACTTATGATTGTAATCACAGTGCTTGGAAGACTGAGGCAAAAGATCATGAATTCATAACTACCCTGGGCTATGTAGTGAATTCTAGTCCAGCCTGGGCTTAGCAGAACCCTTTTCAGAAACAAAAACCAAACAGCAAAACAACCTGAGCTGATGAGATGGCTCTGTAGATACAGGTGCTTGTCACCAAGCCTGAGCTCAAGCCCCAGAGCCTACCTACTGGAAGAAGAGAACTGACTCTAGTCATCCACATGCTGTGTCATGCATGTGCGTGAGCATGTACACACATGCATACACACACACAAGTAAATAAATAAATGAATAAATAAATAAGTAAAGTTATTAGAAATCCCCCCTCCCGGTCTCCACTTCCCCTAGCCCATATCCCCCTTACTGATATGGGCTAGTGTATGGTCTCTCCACCATGTCTGTGTTCTAGTGTGGAAATGCTTTGATATTAGACATGTCTGTATTTTGGAAACCTGCTTTCTCCACTCAAGGCTTCTTGGATCTTTCTTTCAATGTATGCTCACCTGACTCACGCAGCTCTGTCTTGCTCCCTGGGAATACCTGGAGCAGATTTGCCTAACTGCTTGTCTGTTGGTGCACATTTGAATTAAGTTTCATGAGTCAAAGCCAGGGGTTGCCTGTTTCTGTGACTCCGATTTCACTGGAACCCAGCCGCACCTTCTTGTGTACCTATCACCATGGCTACAGCTGCTGGCGCTGCATAGCAGAGTAGGGGAGTTACGAAAGAGGATTGCTTGAAAACTGAAAATGTCTTGACCTCGGCCTAGGACCAGATGGATACATGCCAGTGTTTTTCAGTTTATATTATTGGCTCATTCTTTCTCTCAACTAAACTGTTTCGTGTATTTAATTTTGTGCCAGATAAACTAGAAAGTCACACTTTCAAAAGAAGAAAACAATGGTGATGTAGTTCTTACCCTCTATGAGCATGAAGCCTAGAGGGGAAGAGACATAGTTGGTCATAGTTCAGAAAGTAAAATATGACATGAGATCATCCAGGTGGCTTCAGGAGCTTTGACAGAAGAGTGTGGCAGTCCATTTGAGCAGGGGCAAAGATAGTGCAAGGTGTGAAGGACAAGGAGGAATAGCACGTGGGAAGATGTCGTGGAATCAGAGAACTTCGGTTATCTCAGAGAGGGGAGGGGACATTGGTGTGTCTGTCCCTAGAACTGGCCACCTGCCTTGAGTTCTGCATAGAATAACCAACGGTTACAGTGTTCCCACTGAGCTCCAGTGGGAACTGCTTTGTGAGAACTGAACCCTTCCAGCTTGTGGTAGCCCAGAGAGTGAAATGGTGTTGTATCCACCCAGACAGAGGTTAAATGACTGAGCATCATCACAGCCAGCAGGTGGTAGAGCATGCAGTTTTGTCCTTGTGGCTGTTATTGTCTGTCTGCCTTGGATTCACTCGACTAGACCTCTGTGCCAGGTACAGGGAGCTGTCCTCAGGGAGCTTTTACTGCAGTGGTGGAGGCAGGTGTCAGAGGTGCCAGTGTCTGCAGGTAAAATGTCACGTTAGCAGTGCCTTCTGATAAACACTGGTAGCTACTCCATTTCTCTTGCCTCACCCTCTGGTTGCAAATTGCCAACAAACAAAGACAAAACAAAACAAAACAAAACAAAACAAAAAACCCTAAAAACCACTGAGGAAGTCCAAGTAGTCTTCCCTCCCCAGAGAGGTCTCATGGGGCTTCAGCATGAGATGCTGAACTCTGGTCTAAGGTCTCCATGTAATTGGTAACATTTCCTAGGGATTAAAAGGATGGCCCCTGGCCTCATAGCATAGCAGCCCTTTTTTACTTCCCTCGTGTTTTCCTTTGGCTTTCAGGCTTTCCTTGAAAGATACCTCAGCGCCGGCCCCACCTTGCAGTATGACAAGGATCGCTGGCTCTCGACACAGTGGAGACTTATTAGTGACGAAGCCGTGACGAACGGGTTACGGGATGGAATTGTTTTCGTCCTTAAATGCTTGGACTTCAGCCTCGTAGTCAATGTGAAGAAAATTCCGTTCATCGTACTCTCTGAAGAGTTCATAGACCCCAAATCTCACAAGTTTGTTCTTCGCTTACAGTCTGAAACATCGGTTTAAATGTTCTACATATGTGGCTTTATGAAAAACAAAAGAAGAATATATATAGAGATATATATGTCTGGGGGGAGTCATTTTATAAAGAATTTTTTAAAAATTTTTCGATGCTGACTGAAACTGGCAGATGATAGACCAGTGTCCTTCGACCATCTGCACTTTATTTGAAAGGAAGCAGGAGATGTCCACCCTGACAAGTGACTGGTGGCATCTGACTTCAATAGATGAGACTTCTGAAGAAGCTGTTCCCTGGAGTTTCTGTGACAGCTGTAAACCAAAGTATAGCTGCTGTGTCCTTGGGAGCCTCGCCTTACTGGTCCCTGCCTGTTGCCCAGTACCACATCCCCTAGTGCTTCTGGTCGACCCCCTCATAGATTCTAGGGGACTCACTTTATTCTGGTTCAGGAAACTAGACACTACACATCCACACATGTGTTTGTACAAGCAATTATCCCATATCACCATACCATCCTGGGGAGTGGTAGGCAGTCCAGGAAATGCCCACCCACCTGCATCTGTTCTTAGTTGCCTTAGATTCCCAGAGAAAGAGCCCAACAGAAAATGTGCACTTCTGGATTTCAGCTGTTAAGTGATTTGCTTTTCATTTTCCAGACAGAGAGAACTACCTGCCCTGTTTCTGCCCTGTTCCTCTGTTGGTGAGAGGCAGGTAACCCTTCTCTAGCCCTGGGATTGTCCATCTGAACTCCACTGTAGCCCATTTTGAGCACCCAGACCACAGCCCTACTGGTGGGTGGCCCTGGTGAGGCTAGCTCGCCTCTCCAGAGCTGACAGGGACTTGGCTTTCCAGTATGCCCACAAACTCTTTGCACAGCCTCAGCCTCTCCCAGTCTGTTTCCAAAGTAAGGCATGACCCTGAGGAGCCAGTTAGCTGCAGAGCACCCTTTAGGCTACAGCAGGAGCCCCATCTGCCCAATCTTCCTTAGCCTTGCTTCTCACAAACCAGGAGAGGCCAACACTGTGACTCCCAGTTGGCAGGTGCCCCTTGGAGCCATCCAATTTCCCAGAGAGACAGTATTCACACAGCTCAGGTGCCAAGCTGCCCTATCACAGGAGACCAAATGGTGCCCACCAAGCTGGCAGCTACTCTGTTCGATCCCTGAGGTTTGTGCCCACTGTCACTGTGCAACATACTACAAGGGAAAGGGCCATGCTGCCCTTGCTGTATAAATTGCCCTTAATTATTGGTCAGGAAGAGAAAGGTAAAGGGGGTACTGGGGAAAGGGAGAGTGGGGGAGTCGGTGTTACAGTCCAGCAGGCCCCTTCTGCCAGCTGGTTTTGTAGCTGGTTTCAGAGGACTATCCCCTTAATGTCCTGTTTAGACATAGGTGCCTCCTGGCAGAGCCCTGTGGAGGGGAGTGCCCAAGGAGCCATGTCCTGAAACCTTTAAGTGGGCTCTCTTGGTCTCTCTTTGCCTGCCTATGTCCGAAGCAATGATTCCCCAAGTATTGACTCTCCTTTCCCGGCTTCAGGGATCTTGTTTCAGGAAAGGAGAGCACTGTCAGCATGCTCCAGGTCCATGCATGTGTAGCCTTGCTATTCATGCATTCCGTAAATCACACTATTTTATTTGTCATTTAAAAAAATGAAAATTCACTTGGGATATTTGTAATATACCTTTACTCAGAAACGCATTCTTCTTCACTCAGCAGTTTTTAGCTCAGAAAGATGTGTTGGGGAAGGAAGGGGACTCTCATGGGTGCAGCACAGAGCCAAGATGCCCCACGTTAATAGCTTGGCTCTGTTTGAGACACACCTAGTGGAACCACGGTGCTTTGATCTTAGTTTTTCCCTTTAGGTCACTTCTGACTGGAAGTTCCTCATGATGTCTTTCTCAGGAATATTTTAGGAGATAAGGTAAGGGATGGGTAGTCTGTGAGAGACTGGCTGTATGTGGAGGGTGGGGTTATAGAGTAACTGCTCAGCCACAGATACTGTGCCATAGATGTAAATAATGAGGCGTTAAATGTAACACTACTCACCAGCGCTTTAAAATACTGTGCTTCCAACACTGTCTTAAATTATGGGTCTTGAAGGGGTTAAGTTGGAGTCATGTATTGGTATGTGCATTCCCAGCAGGGTAAGAAGGTTTTAAATTAAGGAACTAATTTATTTTCTCTCCTGCCCCCTCTCCCTCTATGACTCTTTGCATAGTAGAATTTCAGACTTCCTGAAATTATTGTTTTGGTTGTAAATTGAATATCGATTCTTTTCAAAACACGAACTTTGCATCGATTCCGTCCTGAAAGAAAAAACAAAGTCAAAGGCAAATTAAGCTCTTGTGCTCCCAGCACCCTAACAGCTCGAGTTACCAGTGAATGGGATCCCTGTGAAGTGAATGATATTTTGAAAAAGATCTGTAAAGTTGCAGAAGGCTGCATCTCACAATCGAAGACAATACATTTTTATTTCATTTCTTGGACCTATAGCCTATTCTTATTAATGGATGTAAACTGTGCCCTAAGGCTATTAGAATATACGATCCTATTAGATTACACAGGATTCCATTACCTTAAATATTTATAGATTTTTCCCCTATAACCTTCAACCTAAGTTAGTAAAATTCTAACATTAAATGTGAAAGAAATCAATGCAGCGTGTATATCCAATATTGCTGTGATTTTCAGTGGCCTACAAAACTATACTTTTGTTCCAAAGCGTGTGCTTAAAAAAAAGGCAGTCTTTAGTAGTCCATGAATTGACTACAAAAAGTCTGTACCATGGGAGTTAGAATAGATTTTTAAGTTATAAGTCTCATTCATCCTTAGGTTATCCGTGGAGTCCAAATCTTCTGGCTAAAGTTCATAAAGTAAGCCCCAGAGAAAATGCTTAACCATCATTTCCTCCCAAGAATTATTGTCTCCCTTTCTTCCTCTGACTCTTCCTTTTGAGATCTGCAAGAAGACAGATTCTTCACAGCAGAAAGTGTGAAGTTAGTGGCCTGGGTATGTCTGTCTCATCACAACTCCCCATACTGGCCATACTGGAGTCTTAGAAAGGCTGACAGTGCCCACTCTTGCCACCCCTTGATTTGGAGGTGCTCCTTTCTGTGCCCTCTTCTTGAATGCATGGGTTAAATGTGACACCTCATCTTAGCGTGGCTATGGCTGTGATGAAACAAACACATGACCAAAGCACTTGGGGAGGAAAAGGTTTATTTGGCTAATGCTTCCACATCACAGTTCATCATCAAATGAAGCCAGGGCAGGAACCTGGAGGCAGGAGCTAATGCAGAGGCCATGGAGGCTGTGAAGAAGTGCTGCTTACTGGCTTGGTCCTCGTGGCTTGTTCAACCTGCTTTCTAATAGAACCCAGGACCACCCCCAATGAGACCTTCTCCTTGGATCACTAACTAAGAAAATGCCTTCCAGGCAGATCTTACAGAGGAAATTCACAATTGAGGCTCCCTCCTCTCTGATAACTCTAGCTTGTGTCAAGTTGACATCATACTAGCCGGTACCAAGCTCTATCTGTAAACTACTATCAACATAAAAAAATTAACTACCCACTCCCCCTCACTGCCAATCATTGACCCAGTGAAACAACGAAGTCAAGGCCCTAGTTTACTCTCTTCAACCTGGCCCTGCTGTGCAGATTCCTTGTATGTGGATGTGAATCAGGGAAGGGTGGCTGGTTTCTGCCTGTATTTCTGAATGTGTGTTGCCAGGTAGACATGTTTGCCTGTTGGTCATTATAACATTCATGTGACCAGTGACAAATTTGTATGTGTACATGTGTGTATTGCTGAGCCTGTGAGGGTCTACATCTCTGTTCAATAGAGTTCCTCCACTCCCCAGCTTTTGGAAGGTTACTCTAAGCTGGCCCCTTGTCTGTATTCTCTTTTATCCTTTACACCAGCCTCTCACCGAGGAGATATCTGTGGGAGCCTGTTGTCACCCTGCAGGCATGCCCATTACATTTGTTCTTGCGTTAGGTACTCTGTGACCTGCAAACAAAAGGGCAAGCTCTATGGGGGTTACTGCTCAAGCCTTACCACTCTGGAAGCTTCCTGTGCGTTTATTATCATAATTTTTAAAAGAAACAACCAATGATTAGTTATGGAAATTGACAGGAATGTCTATATGATCATTTAAAGAGTTCTGCAACAGAGACCCTACAATTATAAAATGGTATAAAGTACTTCTGGGTAGTGTTTGCTCTTTATGGATCTTGTTACATCACCAAAATGAAATCACTACTGTGAATTTACTACTATGTAACCTTGTCATATCCCATTAAAAATAAAACATGCCTTGTTTTTAAGCCCGGAGTGCAGTTTTTGACTGGTACTTGGCAGAGTGTGAGCTGATGCCGGTTTGACCCCACTGAAAGCATCTTATTGAGCTTGAATCAGATGCTCAGAAAAATCAGCTTTGGGACCAGATATTTTTGATTAATTTTGTTTTCGGGTAGTGTATAGAGTGATGGGTTTCATTGTGGCATCATTCAAACGAAAATGGAGTTCCCATTTTACAGAACATTGTGTTTTGTCACAGAAGTGGGGGAGGGGCGATCAGGGAAATGGAAGGTGCTCATACTCTCCAGGATTAATGTCAGGTTCTGCTATGTGCAGCTTATTCCTCCACTCCACCCCCAGTGTCTTAATTGGGAATCCTTTCATTTGAATGTGACAAAGAAAGATGGAAGAAGAGATTCCTGCCTGGTAAATGGGATTTCAGACCAGCTCTTAGGGCCAGGCCCCTCTGCCCAACACAGAGCATGAGCTAAGTGGTTTGGCATTTCTGAGTGTGGAGGAGGGACCTGGAGACAACAACTTTGAATGGGAACCTGAGGCGGAGAATTCCTCAGGGGAAAGGTCATTTCTTTCACTTTGGGTTTTTACTGTTTGGTCCCATGGGAAGCTTGTCTACCAGGCTGGCCCACTGGGATACATAATGGGAAAAACTGAAGAAGCCTCTCCTCCTCTCACGGGGGAGAGCTAACCTGCTGGGGTTGAGCTGCTGCAGTGCTACTCCCCACAGTCAGGGCCACTGGCCTCCAATCTCTGCCTCTCCTCGATAGACCAGAGCAAGAGGCTCACCAGGGCTTTGGGCACAGGGGCCTGAGTGTAGGAAGCCGGTTCCTGCATTATAATGCTGCCTAAAGACACCAAGGTGTAAATTACTTCACAGGCGCTGGGTAATCTCCATTCCTTTGATCTCTGCCTATCCCATGGCTCATTTTAGCCTGAGGAGCTAAAGCCATTCATAGGGTAATACGTCCCAGGCGGCTGGTCAGCCTTTTATATAGGGATGGTTTTCTTGGTTCAATGTCTCTGCTCACTCTCTGCTCAGTCTCTGCTCAGTCTAATGCATTAAAGCTTGTCTGCAGAAGGATCCGAGTGTCCTGCGTGTGTTTCTTGCTGGCGAGGAATACAGAGCGGGCGCGGGACATATGGTGCCGAAACCCGGGAAGCTTAACATCTCCAGCACCTCAGAGACCCCTCTAACGAGGCGGATTCAGAACTGCAGGGTGGTAAATTCGGAGAGGTATGATTTTTCTGGACTTTGGCTTGGGAATGTTGCTATTTTGGGAGGTTAATCTATTTTGACTTTTCTCACTGTTGTAACAATCTTAAAGAAGTCCAAAATTACATATCAGAAACCGAATGTAATGAGAAAAATTCGGAGAGGTATGATTTTTCTAGACTTTGGCTTGGGAATGTTGCTATTGTGGGAGGTTAATATAGAGGCTTCTATGCTTTTACTAGGAGCTATTTTGACTTTTCTCACTGTTACAACAATCTTAAAGAAGTCCAGAATTACATATCAGAAACCGAATGTAGTGAGAGATGGGGCGCGCCTAACAATAAAATATAAGAAAAAAGGACCTCCCGGG